AGGCTTAATAAACACAGAGTAGTTTAGGCCCGGAAGCAGGATTCATACATCATCACTTAAAGAACAGCTCTCGGGGCACAGCTAGCTCAGTAGATGCCACATGATCAGAAGATTGGGCGTTCAAATCCAACGAACAGAGGCTATCCTGGATTTGTAGCTGCCCACTGCATCACTGAGTGAATGGGTTAAATGCAGAAGACTAAGCATTTTCCTACAGGATTAATGATGTATACATAAACAATGAGATTCAAGATAAGACAAATTTGATAATATTTGACACATCTGTAAAGCAGAAATATCAGTAAAATACACAGGAAGTAATATATCTGAAATATTAGTAAAAAAATAACTTAATATAAATGGTGAATAGCACACTTTTGTGGCATTTGTCAACGCCATTAGAAAAAGGGTCAATACCATCAGACAAAAATCCTGATGGTGTTGACATCTGATGGTGTTGACAAAATACCCTACTTTCTCTCATAACACATGTTTTTCTGACAGAAGCCATCTTGTTTTTCATCAGTTGCTTATGGCCTTTACAATCTACCTAAATTAAGCTCTTTTAACAAAGAAAATAAAATAAAAAATTAAATCTTGGATTACATCGACTTTGGTGTTGACACACTATGGTTGGGACACAGAGTTTTATCAGAAAGGTGTGCAATAAATGAAATTAAAATAAATTTTTTTTTATCACAGCAGTGACCTCATGGCATGTGTATCAAACAGGAAGTGGTAAAGGGGTCCTCAGAGTGTAAGCTACCCATAATAATTCCTGATTCTTTTGACAAAAACTCTGGACACGATTTTAATCACTTAAAAAATATGTAAAAATAAATTTTCAATTGCATATTTTGATATTATATAAGGTATTGACTTAAATACTTAGTGACGAGAGCCATGATGTTTAATTTTACATTACTTTTAATTTTTTTTCTGTATTTTAATATTATCACACCTGCTTCTGGACAATGGATTTTTAAGGTACTGGTAATGTATTGTACCATTTAAAATAAATAAATATGTATAATAAAATGCAAAATCATACTTTTATTGTATAAAAATTGCCTTGGTTTGTCCTTTAGGCATCGTGGCTACATTTCTGTAGGAGTGTATTGGGGTTGCAATTAGTAGTAGGGGAGACCGGGGATAGTTGTAACGTGGGTCAGTTGTAACACTTCCAATTTCTCCAATAAGGGCTAAGTTTCAAATGATGTGACTCATCCTGTGCATGCCCAATTCAGTTCTGCTATCACATGTGAAATATCAGCACATTTTGTCAAACACAGGCAATTTAACACAAAAAACAGTAATTTGTATGCCAAAAAGTAAGTTTTTCTACTTTATTTCAATTTCTAATAGCATTATCTGCTTTGCAGTTAAACTCATCAAACTTAAATTATGTTATTTGTATGTCTATGGGGATATATTCTGTGTAGGTCTTTAGTGCTAATGTTTTAGCTGATGGCTGTAATGTTAGCTAGTTCATGGCTATAGGAGTCCAGGTCAGTTGTAACAGCAACAGTCTGGGTTAGTTGTAACAATAATGCAGATGTTACAACTTACCACACTATTACTTTAACTTATATTAAACAAGTTGGGGCAACGGCATCAGCAGAGAGAGGTTCACTGGTCGCTTTTGTATATGCGGTTAATGCCATTGGCAACACAATTCCTCCACTGTTTGTGTTCCCACACATACATTATGCAGACCACTGTGTCAGAGATGGACCAGTAGGAAGTATTGGTAGTGGAAATAAATCAGGATGGGTGCAAGAAACAGATTTCCTCATCTTTCTGAAGCACTTTGCAAACCACACCAAGGTAAGCCATGAAAAAAAAGTAATGGAATTGCGATGCTGGTGAACAACTACATTTTTTCAGCTTCATTGTTATGTTCAAAATTGGTGCAAGAGTTGTAGGTTATAATGCCCACTGAGCCAATGAGGCCAAACTCAAGGAAGACCAACCAAAATTAATGAAATATTCGGTTGCAGAAAATTCCATAATTTGTCTTTTTTGGGGGGTTGGAATATGTTCAAAAGCTAGATTTCTGCATTCTGTCACACACACACACACAGCTACATAAATGGCTCTAAGTGCATTCATGTGTTGAATAAAAAGATTACATGTCAATGTTTTGTTAGTACCCTTATTTCATTATGTTACATTTCACCCCAGGATATGTTACAACTAACCCAGACTGTGGGGTTAATTGCAACATTTCACTCTTTGTGTTTGAGACCATAATTGTGTTGGGTAATTGTGCTGCAGAGAAAATAGCTGCACTATTTAATAGCCGAGACATGTAAATACTTTGCATTACATTTTGAATCCACTACCTTAAAAGAGCTCCAATTTACAGACAGAAATGTCAAAAATGTTACAACTATCCCCGATCTCCCCTAGTGCATAGTGTTTCATGATCGTGCTCTAAAGTAGCTTGTTTATCCCAAATTTCTTGTGCAGCCTGTAAAGGTGGCCCAGTCTGTAGGTTTAGCAGTCCAATGGAGTTGATTCATGTAGTTTGTTCAGTTCTTGTGTTTCGGCCGGTGAGATGTTACGCATTCTTTAAAGATTCCTTTGAACGTGTTGTTTTCTCTCATGAATAATATAAAACAAAAAAGCAAGCAAGGTCTGTAATGTCATTGCAGGATTTCTATTTTTACATTTTTCATTAAACAAACCAAAACGTATTTTGAACTTATTCTGATGTCGCATTTACTCAGACGAACGTGCAAGAAGAGGTAATATTACGTCCAACTGGGAAATAAAGAGACCTAAAACGACCTAAAGGCCCTAAAATGTATCTTCAGTTTAAGTAAAGAAGAAGAGGAAAAACTTCCTATAAGGAACCGAGATGAAAAAAATAATAACCTACCTGTGAATCGCTGACCCCCTTAAGTAAAATTTTAAAAACAAAACAGGCGGAACTTTAGGAGGAAGATTCGTTGTGGCGTTGTGGCTCACCGAAGAGCCTCCGTGCTCACAGGTAAAATTGCCTCAGGACGGGGCTCAGTTTAAAGCAAAAGCAACGTATATATCCGCTTTCCTTTACACTACTCGCTCCAATAGAAAGCTTAAGCGTTAAAACAGCCGTGAAGTCTTCTGCGAATCTCCCGATATTTAAAAATATAAACTATATATGAAATTAGTTGTAATTCGGCTTAAAACTGCGTAATTTTAGAAACAGGTGCGAAGTCCACAAATATAGAATTTATGGAAATATTATTGAAACAGCAGCCATGCAGAAGTCTGAGTAAGTCGATATCTGCACATTACACAGGGGAAAAGTGCTATATAAATAAAGCGGTCTTGCTTTGTTTTAACTAAAACGAAATTTTGAACTAAAGATGGCAACTTCTTCAGTGGTGGAAACAAACATCCATGCTTTTAAACCTCTCTGTAGATGCACGAAGAGAGAAATGCTCACACATTTCGTTTCTTCAGAATCATAAATATTTTGACACACCTGTACTCGGAGGTTCCTTGGCTCGGTTTTATTTTCTTGTACAAATATCCACAGTTGTGTCTCCACGTGGCCCATTAGTTGATGTAATCACGCCTTTCTTCTTCTGTCTGCTTTTGGGCAAAAATACCTCCTCGGAATATTCAGTGTCGCCTGTAACACTCAATCATTTCTTTTATCATAGAAGTGCGAACAACGACGGGACTAAAGACGAGCCACTGCGCGCAGCCATTACGCACTGCTGTGTGGCTCATGTTACCTGTTATCGTTAATTCAACAGAAGGTGCTGTAGGTTACAACACGATCTTACCGCTATTAGCAACATTAAAGATGTAGAAGCTGTTATTAGGCAACCTAGCGTGAAAAACAATTTTTTCACGATATTAAATTACATTTTCGGTTTTCTTGCTTGTCTTTGCGCGTTGGGTTTTCTCTCTAGCTCACAGATCTCATCCTCTCTGACAGGTCAAATAAAGTAACAGCCGCCATAAAAATTCAGGAATTTATTCTATTATATTGCAATTCTGAAACAAATGAACCAATATTCAAATAAAGATTGGAGAACAGTGATTACCTGTAGTTTTAGAGATGGCAGGAAATCGCAGTCTGTCTCAGTGACTGGTTAAAAACTAAGTGACAGGAATGCCATAAAATGCCTTTGTGTTTCCGTGTCTGTAGTTCATGAAGAAAAAAGCCTAAATTAAGAATACCGCAATGATGAGCCGTTGTTTTAGATCATGTGCTGTATTATCTCCAAGATCTGGAGATGAAGCTTAAACTAAAACTTAAAACAATGGTCCACATACTGATCACAAACACACCCGACCTCCGGGTGGCGCATTGCTCAGTGAGACATGATCATCCATTCACACCAACACCACCCCTCTTCCCCTCTTCATAGCTAACATTTACACACACCAATGGATGTGTGTGTAAATGGTGTAGACAGGTGTAACCGACCCAGAGTTTGGGCCGGCAAAACAGATTAAATGTTCCTGCAAAACAGGGAAATGATGAGACTGGTGAAGTTTCTCTTTGCCTCGCTTCTGCCATATTGGAGAGGAGGACATTTTAAACACCAGTTTAAACAGTTGAAAGCAGAATTTAATTTGTAAAAACAGATTAACAGGTAAAATTATACCAATGAACCATCCAGTCTAAGGCCAGCAAAGAACTGTGAATCAGAGAACAAAGTACATATGGTCAGTGTTGGGAAGGTTACTTTTAAAATGTATTCCACTACAGATTACAGAATACATACACAGAAACAAAACGAAAAACAAGGAGCAAGAGTCCAGAACAGTCCATAAAACAAGAAAACTGTTCAAGAACTCAAGAGTCCAGGAATACATCATTGATGCAAAACAAAACTGGACTGGAGCTTAACACGAGTCCAAGAAAAGTTCAGGGGGTCGACCCGGAGGTTGACAGCACAGGGCCAAAACAGTTCAGGGGGCCGGCCGTGTGGACAGCAGCAGCGGCGACACAGACAAAACCAATCAGGAGGCCGGCCACACGGAATGCAGTGGCGGCGACAAAGCAGGTCCAGAGGCCGACCGCGAAGCCAGCGGTGGTGACAGAACAGGTCCGGAGGCCAGCCACGTGGAAGGCAGCAGGGGCGACGACCTCGTTCAGAAGGCCGACCTCGATGACCATGTCGTCCAACTAGAGGCCTGGAAAGCAGCCAGCAAAGGCAAGGTGGTACAGTCCGAGCTGGACCTGAGGACGGTGTAGCAACGGCAGGACCAGGTGAGGCAGGACTAGGCGAGGATGAAGACACACAGGCGAGGCAGGACTAGGCGAGGATGAAGACACACAGGCGAGGCAGGACCAGGCACCTTCATCCAGGCAAGGATGAAGGCGTGGCGGCTGCGGGACCTGACGGCAGCGTGGCGGCTGCGGGACCAGGCGGTGATGCTGCAGGCGGTGATGGTGCAAGCGACGGTGTGGAGGTTGCAGGTGGTGGAGCAGGTGGTGGCTGAATGGACTCCCCTGAACCGTCAGCAGACATGGGGATGTGCTGGCTGGGTCCTCCAGGACCCTCAGCTGACAAGGCGTGGTGCTGGACGGGCTCCTCGGGCCCTCCAGCTGACGTGGCATGAGGCTGGACAGGCTCCTCGAGCCCTCCAGCTGGAGCAGATGCAGGACCAGAGGCAATTGGGACCCCTGGCTGAGGGTGAAGATAAGTGGCTGACTAAATGGGTGAAAGCACTGGAGCCTGAACTGACTGGGCTATTGACTGTAACAAAGTTTGCAGTAAGTCTGGTTGTGGTAATGACTGAGCTACGGGCAGCGGGGCTGAAGACTGAGCTACGGGCGACTGAAATTGAGATGACAGTGGTGGTGGTGATTGGGCTACAGGCCGGGCGGCTAACTGGGGTACAGGCCGGGCAGCTAACTGGGCTACAGGCAGCGACCCAGAACCGTGACAACATTTGTAACTGGCTGAGTGAGTGTGGGAAACAGTTTCTTGTTAGGGTCAACAATGACCTGTTAAAAATCTGATCTCAGCATTGCGTGCTGTGGAGGTAGTCAGCAGCATCAAGTTTCTGCAGGTACAGATAACTGACAGTCTAGACCAGGGGTCAGCAACCTTTAAGACCCAAAGAGCCATTTGGATCTGGTTTCCACGCAAAAGAAAACACTGGGAGCCGCATATACTTTTTGACATCTAAAATGAAGATAACACTGTATATATTGGTTTTTACCTTTATGCTTTGTGTGAACAACTAAGGTGTGTTGCTTTTGAAATCCATGAAGCGCTACAGAGAAAATTACATTTTATTTATGTAATTAACACATTTTGAACTCTTCAAGTTCTTATAACAAAAGGAAAGACACCCAGCTGAACTAAAATGATCCATGTAAAAACTGTTGTGAGCCGCCACCCTCATATCGCCTTTGGTATATGTCGGGCTGTGAGCTGCAAAGCTACAGCCGGCTGTATGCGTACAGCAACCGTGTGTGAAAAGTGGTCAATAAAGAGATGCTGAAAAGCATGTTCATGGAAACATCGTCGGGTCTGCCGTGATATGTTTACAATGGAACTTCTGCTCCTGAACCTCTGCGCACAGCGTCTGCAAATCGGGGCTGTACAAAGTCACTTTCATCTTTACGCAGGACTGTAAACTGTCATCTGTGAGGCGTGAGCGGTGTTTGTTTTAACATAGTTCATGGTGGAGTACAGCTGCTGACATAATGTGGATCCGAAGATTCATAATTGGTCTACCTGGGGTTGAAAGTCTCGATAAATGCACGCCGTTTTGGTGGGTACACCAGCTTCCGCGAGTGTGACGCTTATTTTGAGCGATGAAAAAAAAAATAGAATATAATTATATATTTATATTTCAATATCACAATAATCTTCCAATTTAGAACTACAAGTTAAAAAAAGAACTAACATAAATAAAATACACTTCAGCTAAATACTTCTAATTTATTTTCCCAAACCATGCAGAGCCACACTATAAGGACTAAAGAGCCGCATGCGGCTCCGGAGCCGCAGGTTGCCGACCCCTGGTCTAGACTGATCACTTAATACATCAGCACTGGTTAAACAGGCTCAGTAGTGGCTGCACCTCCTGATGCAGATCCCATCCTTGCTACTTTATACCATGGCAACACAGAGAGCAACATGACCAGCTGTATTTCCATTGCTAAGAGTGGTGAAGACTGAAGAGAAGATCATTCATCATTCTCTTCAATCCATCCAGGATGTTGTGCACAGGTCCTGTCTCAGCACCCTAAGCACAGAAGTCCAGACCTCCTTCCCCTTGGCCACCTGTTCTAGTTTGTCCAGGGGAACATCAAGGTGATCCCTGGCCAGCTGAGTGATATAATCTCTCCAGCGTGGCCTGGTTCTGCCTCAGGGCCTCCTCCTAGTGGGGCATGCCTGGAACACCTCAACCAGGAGGCATCCTCGTCAGAGTCCCAAACCACCTCAACTGGCTCCTTTTGATGTGGAGGACTAGTGGTTCTACTCAGAGCCCCTAATGGATGGCCAAACTCCACACCTGATCTATAAGAGAGAGGCCAGCCACCCTTAGGAGAAAGCTTATTTCCACCACTTCTATTTGCAATCTCGTGCTTTCAGTCACTACCTAAAGCTCATGACCATAACTGAAGGTGGGGACAGATTTGACCGGTAAATTGAGAGCTTTGCTTTTATGCTCAGCTCTCTCTTCACCATAATGAACCAGTACAGCACATCACTGCAGCCGCAGCACCAATCCATCAGTCGATCTCCCATTCCCCTCTCCCCTCACACATGAACAAGACCCAGAGATACCTCAAACCACATTATTCCTCCTGTAGCCGAGGTTTGACTAACAGATGGACTCTACTTTCCAATACCTTGGCACAGAGTTTCCTGGGAAGGCTGATGAGCATGATTTCCCTATAGCTGGAGCACATGCTCCAGTCCCACTTCTTAAAGATGGGAATCCCCACCCTGGTCTGCCAATCCAAAAGGTACCACTGCTTATTTCCACACAACATTGTCAAAGTGTTTCAACTAAGACAACCCTACAACATCAAGAGCTTTCAGAAACTTAGGGCGAACGTCATCCACCCTAGGGGCCCTGCCACCAAGGAGTTGTTTAACTCCTCACCCCCAATTATGGATGAGTTGTTCAGCTCATCACCCAGACTCTGCTGTCTCTATGGAAGATGTGTCAGTGGAATTAAGAAGGTCCTCGAATCACAAAATACAGTTAGAACATTCTGTACAATAGATGGCGTATACAGTTGGGTATCTCTTGTATTAAAAGACGAGAAAACAACAAAAACATGACATTATGGAGCATTTCATTCAGTCAGATCCGCTTAACACACAGAAGAGCATAATTTCCCATGACATTCCTCCTTTTTCATCATTTATTGATCACATAGGCACATTGTCTTTACAAAGACACAAACAATAGACTAAAAAACAAACAAACCCAACAACCTAACCACCAATCTAGGTCATCTGTGAGTCATACGGAAAGTAAACGGATGTTTTCATGCAGAATAGGCCGCTAGGGAGAACCCACCCACCACTTTAATCACACTTGTTTTAACATATGGCATAGAAATGGAACATTTAACAGTGCTTCCTGAAAACCCTCTCCTATCTGATCATTTCCTGATTACATTTACATTTACACAGCAGTGGAGACTTTATCACAGTAGATGTCTTTCTGAAAGCGCTGTAACCAGTGTTGGAC